TATATAATATTTCTTTAAAATATAAATTTAAGGAAGAGTATGATTCTTTTTCCGTACCATGATCGCTTGAAAACATTGGAAGCATAATTGAACGATAAAACCAAGCATTTGAATCAGAAGCATTACGTTGAAACAATTTTCTACTGTTTCGGCGAACCTTAAACGTGCACATAGTACAATTAATGATTGTATTAGTTCTAATACAATTAAAGATTGTATTAAGTTTAAATGCATAATTGCATAATTTGAAATATAATATATAATATAATAGATGTAATATAATAGATATAATATAATATATTATTAACAATTCTAAGTAATAATTATTAACTTATAAATAAAAAGTAATATATTGCAGTTTGATACATTTAAGCTTGATAAAACAGATTTGAATTGGTAATTGACTAGTCTCTTAAGAAACTTCCCCTTCGTTAATGAAAATTTTTTATTATCTCTCGAATGTAGGATCAGAATTTATAATTAGAAATATTTTTTAAGACACTCACTCAAGGGCGATTTATAAAACATGATTGACAAAAGATCATCTATCCATAAAAATATAAATTCCACGAAAATTCACAGTCTAGTTTACATTAAAAGAATTAAATTGCCAAGTATAAAATAATTATTCACTATTAACCGTATATAAATAAAATAAGCTAGGCGCGAATATGAAATGGCTTTTGCAAATTGATTTCTCGCTCATTAACAACTACTCTTGTTAGAATCTACCTTTCGTACCTTTTCTACACTTTCAAAGTCATTCAAGATTTCTTATAAGTACACTTCTATTCGTAATTTATTCTCAACACGTACCCGACGATATAATTGTGCTTCTCAATAATTTTTTTCAATCTTGCTTGAAAATCTTTTCTATCACACAAATGAGTGTTCCTCAAGTCGTCCTTCAGATTCGAAAGCTGTCCGCAAGCATGCAAGACAAGCACAGTGATAAACGTGTCCACGGATGTGTAAGTCACAGATGCGTATATATCTGCCATAACCTGACCAATTATTGTCAGTTCGTATATTGGACTGATGCTTGTATTGTAAAAGAAATAGCTACGATAGACCAATTTGT